CAATCAGAAGCATTCTACTACCTATGCTAAGGGATGGACTGTTCCTCTTATAGCGTGCTCACAACTTAAAGTACAGGGAGTAATTTATGATATTGTACAGATTTGTATCTGGTACCCCAGTTCTGAAATCTAAAGCTTTACCATTAAACCAAACTGTAAACTTTAATAAAGAGTAGCATAAAACAAAAATCAAGAACATTTTAATCTTCTCAATAACAAGTCTCTGATTAAAAAAAAAGAAGAAATTAATTTTCCTTTACCTTCATCTTTTTCACTCGCAGAGGAAGACATGCTTTGTCCAGAAACAGTTCGTTCTCTCTTAGAAATAGGACTAGAAGGAGATGCAGTATTACTGTCTGCTGTTACCTCAGACTGAAGAAAATCAAGAGGAAAAAGCAGAGAAAATTACAGTTGAAACATGCATAAAAAATTAATTAACATGTTTCTAATTAAAACAGTGAAATACAAAGATGTTATGTTCAAATTTCAATGTTTCTCATATAAATAGATAAAAAAATATAATACCACCTCCAATAAGTACCAGTCAGTTGCATAAAATATATTTAAATATCTTAATGATGATAACTGAAAAATCTAAAAAAGAAAGAGATGAAATAGTTTTAACCAAAAAAAAGCATAAGGCAGAAAATTCCTACACACTACACAAACTGTAAAGTTTCTTATTGTCACATGGGTATCTGCAATGCATTATTTACCTGTGGTGATGAAAACTGTCTCACTTTTTCTCCCTATTTTGCAACAAGTTTGTTCACATCACTCTGAGAAAATTTACTAAAGTTGGCCACTCTGTGGGTTACGTTAGAATACATTGGCCGTGCAAAGATTACCTTCTAAATATTGTGTTGAAAACTAGTAGGAATAAATAATTTTGCCATATTGTTCAAAGAAGTTATGTCACATTCAGAAAATGTGTTATTATGGAATAATATGTAATTTTAAACTATCACAATAGATAATGAGTAAATAAACGTTTTTGCATTTTTTTAACTGCTAACATTTTTCTTTATGAAATTTAAACTTAGTAAAGGATATTGTCAGTAATGTTTTTGGGCTTTGACTCTCCAAGAACTTAGCCAATCTTTATTTTTAATCAAAAATAAATAAACAAATTGAAATGAATTAGAAAAAAATTTTAATGCAAATAACTGCTTTTAACTTAAGATTGTTTTTCTCCAAAAATAAAGTTATAATGTAACAGAGTAAGAATAGCAAAGAACATACACATGTATTTGAGATATCTTATGTAACTTTGTCTAGCAGCAAATCAGGTATTATTCTGGATAATAACACAAGCAATAAGAATGATAACTGGTTGAAAAGGGCAAATATTCTCCTCTTTTAAACAGAATGTTTTCATTTAGATATAATTTTAATATAATCTTCTACGTACAAATCTCAAAAATACTGATAACTGAAGTCAAGATTCATTTATGTCTTTTGCAAATGTAATATTTAAAAGTCTTGTAGTATTTTTGAAATGATTAAAAACATATTAAAAATAATTTTTAACAGTAGATATTAGTATACAATTACTAATAGATATTTTCATGCTTATAAAAACAAAGAGTAAATAAAATAAACATTACTACAGCCAACAAAATGAGTTCACAAACTCCAAGCATGAAACTACCAAACATGAAAAGAACAGCACTTTCATTTACTACGACAGAATTTAACATTTTCTTAAATCAAAACTATATTTCCAATAATACCTCCACACACACACACATTCTTCCTTGGCTCATCTAAGTATTGGTCTGATATCTTTTTGCTTGTTGCAGTCTTTTACTTCCCACTTAATTGCCCCTTGGCGATATCTATGTTGTGACAATCTCCACTTACTTCAATGCGGCCTATATTCTGGTACTGTATGTAAGCACCTCATTCAGATAATATTATCACTTTCTCGAGACTGACCCAATCTACAGTCTCTAATACCAGCTTATAGTGGGGAGGAAGGGTGGGAGAGTGTGAGTTGATGTAAGTATTACTGTAAATATATTTGAATTTAAGAAAATGTTACCTCCTCTCACATACAGCTAGAATCCCACATTGATAAGGTGGAGGGGCTGATGAGGGCATTATTTATACAGAATGTGTCTGTATAAATCATGTGTGTGCCAACAGAAGATTAGCACCCGTGTGGGAGAATCACACTACATCCAGAAGAGGTATGCTCTTCACCCAAAACCTAATTCATGCACTGCGAGTGGAATTTGACAAGATCCGTTAGCATATTGGCCAGGCCCCTAATTCCCATGTTGGTGGCTAGGGCATTTGGACTTCATTCAATATATATACACACACACACACACACCCGTGAGTGGAACCCAAACAGTAGCTATAGAGTAATGAGTTCAGAGTTACCCGAATCACGACAAAAAGGTAAGCAATACCAAAACCTTCTCCTAACCTGAAGAAGTCCAAGAGGCAACACTCCATACTCGGAATGACAGGATCCTGTATGCCATACTCAACCTGTAGAAACAGAGCTTATCTGGTCTGGAACTATGAACACTGATATTCACTCCCCAACTGTGTGGGCAAGGTAAATTCCACTTGTCCTCAGAATTATGGGGATGGATGTGGAACAAACTGTTCTCAACCAAGCTTCCAGGATGGGACCACTCTGCATTTGGAATAATGAGGAGACATTGAACCATGAACAATTTACTGAGCCAATACTGATTAAAAAGAAGGGTCATACTTAACTCAACCGAGTAGCTTAGCATCAAATCTGAACCAGTGTTACGAGTAGGCTCCCATGTAGGCTGGTGCCTCTCCTACCAACATCTGCTTTTAAGAGTGGAGGAAATTTACTCAAACACTCTAGAGAAATAAGCTCTGTCCATCACTCCAGTGATGGAAAACCAGGTGTGATAAAGACTCCCTAGTTTCGCTAGTAGAATCTGGGGGGGGGGAGATAATGCACAATGGGGAGTCCTGAGGAACAATTTTTTTGAAAGCAAACTGACCCCAATATTTATGCAATCCACTGATTGGCAGGGACAGGCAGGATCACCTTATGCATTACTCATGATAGTCCATGAGTGGCAGTCCAACATAGTACAATAATACCACTGGTCTGCCTCTAGGTGGTTTTATGGAACACATCATTTCTACAGAGCCTATTGCATTCTAGATAAAATATATTGTGTTAGTGGTTGCTAGTGCGGATTTGGTTTGATAAAAGCACACCTGACTGGGCAATACTCACCACACAGTGAGATCCTTGATAACAAGGATCCTAAAAGTGGTATGTGACCCTGACCCTAAAAAGGAAAGAAGACACGAGATTGGTAATGAAAATACTCAACCCTCATTATAATCTAGCAGATGTGATTAATATAGCTAGATGGGGTAGTCAAAAACCCTCAGAGGAAGATACCAGTAGATTTTTCAAGTAATGTCAGATAAAAGTATTAGAGGAGGTCCACATACCAACCTGCACAATGTCCTCCAGTGGGCAATTCAACCAGGCTGCTAAGGACAGAAATCTGATGAGATATGACTTGCAGAAGTCTCCTCATCTCCAAATAGAGTCCAGAATAAGTGATAAGAATCACTTTCCACATTCCTCTTGACAAAGTAACTGGGAAACTGAAGGATCCCAATGAATAAAAAGTTGTTGTCTAGCACATCTAAAGGTGTTAGTGTGGGTAACATAACAATTAAAAGCCCTCATTGGACATAACAAACAATCATGTCCCAATCAGTCACAGAAGTGAGAAATAGCGATCAGATGAATCAGTAAAAAAGGATTTATCTCCTTCCCTTGCTGCCAGCGTCTTAAGTAAGAAGGACTTGTCTGGGTATACGAGAACACAGGTAGAAATGATAAAGCATCCTGTGCACATGTAGCGCAAACAACTCCAACTAGCAATGTCTGTAGGCCAGCAGCAACAAAAAATAAACCTTAAGAGAAAGGTGATACTTGGTACATCAAGCTAAGGGCTCAAACAGATGTTGAGAAAGAGCATGTAATACCACCTTAATATACCAGTTAGGTAATTGATGTAGTCAATTTGGATGAAGGACTTAAAACAACTTGAGAAGGCCAGAGAGCACCGGGGACTTAAATAATTTTTGTCTAAAGGCAGTCAATAAGGCGATGGTGCATGATGCAAAACCTTTGTCAAAGAGCTAGGTCCAAAAACGAGTTACAGTTAGAACCTCTGGATGGAGTGGGTTCAACCTCCATGCAGTACACCACTGTTGATATGTGTGCCATTTCCGTTGATAAATGTCCATTGTAGTACTGCGTAAAGACTGAGACAAATACATGGTAACCTCAGAAGTTAAACCCTGATGCTGCGTGAAGGACTGCATTAGCTCCATGCATGAAGCTTGAACTTCAGGATGGTTTGATGAACAATGTTGTGGCTACCTCAACAGAGATGGCCAAAGAGGAAGTGGAAGAGGTGGGCACTCCTTAAGGTACCACAGGGTTTAGTCAGCCAATCTGGTGCTACCAACAGAACCTGACAAGAGATTGAATGAATCATAGCTAGTACCTAGGTTTACATACGAATCAGTCCTGACTGAATGCATCTATTGCCAATGCCCAAAGGTTAGGTACTTCAGACCAAAATGCCAGTAGTTGAGTGGTAAATGCACTGATCTTGAGCCGAGAGAAAATCCAATGGAAAATCTCACATTGCAGCATCCATTCTGTCTGGAGAATCTAGTTGGGTTGAGACAATTGATCTGCAACCAAATTCATCACCCCTGAAACATGGCAAACTAGTAGGATGATATGATGGGAATAGGCCCAAGAAAGAAGATCCAGGGTTCGAAAACAGAGAGACCTGGATTGAGTGCCCCCTTAACAGAAAATGATGTAAGATACCACCATGGAATTGTCGATGTGAAGCATAACAAATTCATCCCTCAATAAGTCCACATCTTAAGCCATCACCCTTTGAACAGCAAGAAGTTCTGATACATTGTATAGGGAAGTCTTGTTATCTATCCATAGGCCCTAGAATTCCTGACTGTTGAGATATGCACCCCATCCCTGAAGCAAGGCATCCGAGAAAATATGGATCTCTGGATGAGGTGGGAGCAGAGGAACATCTATCATAGTATTGTTCCAATATAACTACCACTCAAGATCAAAGATGTTGATCCTGAATAAAGAGACTGTTCACGATCCATTGGTTGCATAGAGACAACTGAAGGGATCTCATGTGCACTCTTCCCAAAGGAATGAGGGATTGGAGTGATGCCCACATCCTCAAAAGAGAAAGAAACATCCACACAGTGGGAGAAGAAGAAGTGAGTAAGAGTCAGACTGCCTGTTCCACAGCATGGAGCTAAAAAAGATACCTAGGTGGATGATATACTATGTTGGCATGAGAACAGATTTCTCAGCTCTGATAATAAAGCCTGCATTGGTTGCTTCTGAAAGTATAATCTGGGTGTGACATTCTACCAACTGATAAGATGGTGCCAGCAGTAACCAGTCATCCATGTAATGGTGTGTGCACAGGCCTCAGGAATGGAGATGATGAGAAAACGTTTGTACGATTCGGTAGAACATATATGGTGCTGATGCTAGTCTGAAGGGCAGAGCCCTGAACTGCAGCACCTGATTTTTGTGCACAAAATGCAGGTAGTGGCAGGATGACTTTGGTATGGAAATGTGTGGATAGGAGTTGCAACATTGAACTTTGTCATCCGCAGTCCTGTTAAAAAATGCTAACGCAGAATAAGGAATGACTTCATCACGAAACTTGAAGGATCTAGGAATTGATTTAGAGGGGAAAGACTGATAAACGCATGCCAATTTCTTGTCTTCTTGGGCACAAAAAACAGTTGGGAATAAAACCCTGGAAGAATTGGCATGACTTTCTCCACTACTTCCTTAACCAACAAATCACCAATAGCCCTGGAATGAAGTCCTGAAATCCAAGGATTTGCAGGAGGCAGAAACACTGCAGGTTGAGTGGATAATGGTGATGAAGATGTGAACTGAATGACAAATTCTGATGCATGGATCTGTAGTATCAATGGATGCATGATAAAGGTTTTCCACACTCCAGAAATTCTCAGAGCCAAGCCCTCACAGACCCCAAAGGCATGAGGATATGGATGGAAACTATTCTGGTTACCAATGGACTGAGGGGCTGATGTTGGAGTCAGTACACTGGAATAGGGGCAGAACTATGACCCCCTGTAGAAGTCAACAATGACAGGGATGAACGCAGACATGCAACATCAACCCTTGATTCCAAAGACTCTGAAACACCTGCAAAAATTAAGGATTGGAGAAAGGGGACCTCAAGTAACTCGTGGTGGGTGGTAGCCAGTAGAAGAACACCCCCACAATAATGCATATCTACCCTACAAATCCCAACAATACACCAGCCAAGAGACAACGGAAAGTGCAGAATCTGACTATCAAACCAATGTACATGCTAACAATGGTCCCTATTCATCATCAAATTAATGTGGTTGTTGCTGAGAGGCTTTCAACAAAAGTTGGAGGGATGATAAATATCTTAGCATCACAGTTAGGGTCAGACGAATCATACAAAATTGTGATCTATTCAGGTTGATCACAAACTCCATTCTGGAACACCAAATTTCCAGGAGTGGGTCTATTTTTTGAGAGTCTAAATATGTGTCCACCTGGTGGTGGAAGGCTAAAGCATGTTGTTCCAACAAATGTGGCAGACAAGGCAGTAAGCCTTCCTGCATGAACTGCAATATCAGGGGGTGGAGACAGAACAAAGTATTCACTCTCAGACCTTTCTGCCATCAAGGAAGGCATAGACTCAAAAGCAACTGGGAAAAGACCCAAAACATCAAACACTCGATTTACCAACTGAAAAAAAAAAGAGAGCCAGAGGTGGTTGACCCCAATTTGACTTCCTGAGAAGCCGATAGAATAAAGGAAGGTGCTTGAAAAAGTGCAGCATCAGAGCCCCCTGGAGAAACATCACCACATCAAATATATGTTTCCAACCCATTACAAATAAGGTCATAAATAGCAAGCTCCAATTGAGAGTCAATAAGCAGATTATTTCCAGCAATGCAGTCCTAAGTTTTACTTAAAAGACATTTGGTAAACTTGCTGTTAACCAGCATAAAAAGCTTTTGTTAATCCAGACTTTCAACTTATTCTTACTCTGAGCAGTAAGTGGAAACACACTTCATAAGTTGAGAAAACAATTGTGTTGTATTACAAGCACTTTGGGATGAAAAATAAACAGATAAACTGCTGTTTATATGATTTGAAACTATCGACAGGTTAGATTTCTGTCAAGGATGAAGGAAACTCAAATACGACTTACCTCAGTAAAGGATAAATAATTGAGTGTATTGAGCCCTCCCACCTCACAAAAAAAATAAACTCAATATGCTCATGAAATACAGGTTAAAAACAGAAGTTTAATAGTAAGTAACAATCTTTTTGCTCAAATACTTAATACAAAAATAAGCATTGTTTACAACATTATGTATAATCTGAAGGTGAAGCAATCTATTTTCTCACTTGCTGGCATTTCTCAATGAAAGAAACAAAATACAAGACAAGAAAAAGTGCAAATGCTGAACAAAACAAACAAGAAAAGTATAGATGAACTGGTCATTTTCTTGGCCTTCATTTCTAATAAGGAAAAGTTATAGTGTTTCTTGTTTTCTTTTTTTGCAAAGTGGAACCACAAAAACAAGAATCTTAAAAATCTGACACTAGCTGCATGTTTTCAATCTACTTCAATTAAAATAAATTGATTCTAATACAGAGGTTTGAGTATGTTATTTAAAAACAATTTTGAATATGCAAATGAGCAAGTCACGTGACAACCACAGCATACAAAATTATGGTAGAATGGCATGCTTTAGAACTGCATTTTTATGTTTTGTATGTAGCGTGATGTTACTGAAACTTATTGCTTTGGGGAAGGACTTGTAACAGCCCTTTCTGATGAAAAATATTTATACATTGAGATCATAGTGTATTAAGCTCAGGGACTTACAATATTCAAGATGGGGGATATCCCTCGTACTTTTTATAGCATTGTAAAACAAAGGAACATGTATAAACTTGGAGCACCAAAACCATCCAGAAAGAGCCCTGCAATGGTAAGCAAAGTGAGTTATCCTGTAACAAATGAGAATACATGTCAAAAGCCATTCACATCTACCAGGTAATAGTATACAACATAATCTAAAAGGATCTCTGTCTGTAAAAGCTATACAAGTCACACATACACAAGTTGTTTCCACAACAAATCAAGGAAGAAAGAAAAACTGTAGAAAACTGTCTGAATGGCACCTAGCTGGAGAAAAAAAAAAAGGGAATATGTTGTGACATTTGACAAAGTGTATGTATACTTTGATAACTGTAGCTAATGTCATGCCAATTCCTACTTGTCAATGAATGAAACAAAACTCCAAAAGTGATACATGGTATGTCACAAATATTTTTCTAAGGAATTCATGATCATCACTACATATTGCACCAAGAACAAGTTAGGGATCAGGAGAGTGGATACAAAGGTCAAGATGAACTCTGCCTACTGTCAAATCAATATTCTGGATCTTTTGTACCACACAGAAATATCGGGTTTGTACAGAAATTAGACTAATAGAGAATGGGTTGACCAAGATAATGCTTCCGATCATACCTTCCATTCAATTGTTGAAACATATGCTAGGACATCATTGTCATCATACACTACATTATGGATTATGGGAAGCCAACAGGGAAGGGTGGTGTGCTATATTTTGTTAATTTTCAAATATAATATTACTTTACTACTAGAGCTTAGCAATGAAAACAACCACAATTACGACTTTTTGCCACCTGAAACTCAGTATATGAATAATGTCATATAATATCATATTATTTAGAAATGTGTGTGTAGTTACACATACACACACTAGATATGACCAAATGTGTATCTCATTCAGAAACTTCTATGAACAAGTAGTGTTTCAAGTTCGTATTCATTACAAATTAATAAGTTATGTGACCTGAGAAATACAAACACTATGAATGTACCAAATGAGTAAAGAACAGTACAGAACAAAAATGTATTCACTCTAGAAACAATTCGTGAAAATGGAATGTTACTGAAACAATTTGATGAAAATTTAAAAAAATGTCAATCATTTTACATTTGTGTTGTCATTTCATTTTACTAACTTGTTAGGATAATCTACCAAAAATCACTCCAACTAGAAGTCTGCTGGATAATTAATATTGTTTTAAGTTTTTGTGCAACTTATGAAAAAAAACTACTCAATGAAACAGTATTTCAAATTATCCAATCTGATTGTTGAACTTGTGTCATTTATAATGATACAAGATATTTCACAATTATAATTTCCCTCAAAGTTGAGTGAGAATGATCAAAGAATCAATCAAATGACCAGTTCAAAAACACTTTACAATTGTTTTCTTAGAAACAAAAACAGTACATGTATAGGATAAAACCATACATCTCATGCAACATTTAGGAGCACAATTTAAAAAAACAATATTAAAATATTAATATTTCAATCACCACCACCACCACCACCAGTTAATAAATCATACCAAACAATCAAAATTCTGCTCAACACTGATGCAGATCATGGTACCTGAGAAACTTCGCGCCATCTGCCGTTTTTGTCCAACTTTACCTGCACACAGATGATGGTTAGATGAGTATTACATTACACAGGGAAATTATGATATGAATTTGATAATTATTGTAGGCTTGCTTGACAGTTTTGTGGCAAAGTTTATGCCATTCCTCTTGTCATCAGTGCTCAAAAATTAGAATTTTTAAAGCACACATTCTGTCAAAGGTGTCACGGTAAATCTTACATTCTGTAAACAATATCTTAGTTGAAATATATGCATCTCATTGTGGTTATTTTGATTAACAAAAAAATTCCACATTTCCTTATATTAGATATTATAAAATACATTTAGTAAAAATACATATAAAATCGTTCATGTAAGCTAATGTGCTGAAAAAATTTATTTAGTAAATTTTAATTTCTATTAATATACATATTCATATGTATAGGTACATATCAAATAAACAAAGCTTGATTTCGTTTGTAATAAATGATTTGACTTATATGATTCTTATAGTGAAATAGTGTTGACCCTAATACCACATTCAATTCCAAAAATTGTAACTGAATAAGATTAACAACAAAAAAAATATATTGACTTCTTTTCAATTTGTAATGCATCATAATCTACTTCATCCTTCCACACACACAGTTTTCTCTATCAGAATATGTGGATGCATTGAATTTATATGCTATTAACAACAACTGTTATTGCTAATAAACAATGACTTTTCATGATAAGAACTCATACTTGAGCAGAATTCTACCTTGTTTAAGTTAATTTTTCACTCAAAATGCTCATCTGCATACTGCTGTAATATATGAAAACACAGCTTAACCTCTCGCAAAGCAGCTGATATCTCAAAAACTTTGATGAAGAATGTTTCTGATATAGCTTGCAATAATTCATAGTGTTGCAAACACCAAATAATAATTTTCAAGGATAAGAAAAATAGATAAAAGTAAAATAGTAAAAAAGTAAACCAACCAACCACTATGATGCACATAAACTATGGACAACAATTATTAGGTGTGTGCTATGACTAAGTTTGAATGGCTAACAGTATACAACATCCATGACGTATATGGTGCATCTCACATGCAGCATAAATGGAGCTACACAATGTGCTTTATTAGCCTGATACTTGCATTTCCAAGATTAAATTTTTGTGCATTTTATATATTTTATGCTTGTTTAATTTGTGTGTGTGTATATATACAAATAAATAAATAAATAAATATATATATATATATATATACACACACACACACACACACACACATATATATATATATATATATATATGTATAAACACACACACAAACATGAATTTAAATGACAACTGCTGGACATATGTAGGAAATGGTAAATAAACTACTCTTTGGACATACAATTCAATCTGAGAGAAGGATGGCAGAGGTTTTGATGGGTAAATCTAAAGGAAGAAAGAGATGCAGGCAGACACTTAATTAGTCTATGACATTAGAAAATGGATTGAAGATTAGAAGCTTGAATCAGGAAAGTTAATACAGGCAATAAGATATAGAGAACAACTAAGAGCCATAGTTACTGACCCTACTTCAGGGACAGGATTCAAACCCATGGCCCTTCGATTGCAAGGTGAGTGCACTAATCACCAGGGCAAGATAGGCCATATTGAGAAACAAATAAAAGCTATCATTTTCCTAAATTAAAATGTATTTCCAAACATACTTACCTCCGCTGACACTAATAGCTATTTCTCGATCTTCAACTTTGCCATCTAATGTTGTGTTCACTTGCTCCAATCTTTATATACCCCACTTAACTGCCCTCGGCAATACCTAATTTGCGAAACTTTACACCAGCCCTCACACCCCCCTCTATGCAGGTACTTTATGCTGACAATAAAATCACTTTTTTGAGACTTACCTCATTCCAGTCACTAACACTGGCTCTTAGTGGGGAGGAAGAGTGTCAGCAGAGGTATGTATGTTTGGAAATACATTTTCAGTTTAGGAAAATAACTTTCGGATTTACGAGAAGATAGTGGACCCTCTGCATAACAACATAAGACCTGACATTGTTCATAAGAGAGTCCAAGCATACCTCCCACCGAATAGCTGAGCGTCAAATCTGGACTGGTTTTACGAATAGGCTCCCGCATAGGTTGGTCCTGCTCCTACCAACATCTGGTATAAAATTTCCAGGGACCTAAGTAAGAGGGTCCTCAACTTTGACCTCTTCTCTGAGAGTGGAGAAAACTCAACATCCGAAGGAAAATCCTCTGTCCACCACCCCAGCAACTGAGAACTGGGTGTGGTAAGGACTCTAGAGCTCCTATAGTAGAAGCATTGGGGAACCCTGAGGAACTGGTCTCCGGAAGATCGTGCAATAGGTGAACCACGTTCCTTCATTTTTAAAAGCAAACTGACCTCAACTGATTCAGCTTTAAGATCAGCAGGGACTGGCAAAATTCCCTTTAGTTTTACTCATGATAGTCCATGTGTAGTGGTCCATTAGAAATATTGTAATATGATATCACCATCCAGATAGTCTTATAGAACACCTCATCTCGACAGAGCCCATTGCAACCAGGAACCAATATAATAGTTGGTAGTGCAGAATTTAAATACAAGCATATTCGACTGGGCAATACTCGCCATTGAGTGGGATCCAAAAGAAATCAATAGAGACCCTAGAAGAGAAAAAAATAATAACTAAGTCAGATAACACATTACTCACCTCCCTGTTGAAATATAGTAGAGGTAGTCAACACAGCCACAAAGGGAAGACAAAATTCCATCGAAGAGGAAACTACCAGATCATGAAGGTAATGAGATATAAATGTGTCGGGAGAAGTCAACATACCAGCCCACAAAATATCTTCTAGGGAACAGTTCAACTGGGTAGCCAAAGACATCGATAGATGTGGAATCTGGTGAGAGGTGATGTGGAGCATATTGCGATAAGCCTGAATAGGCAATATGGATCAACTTTTGAAGTCATCTGGTTAAAGTAACAGGTGATAAATCTCTGGACACTGCAAGATCCCAATGAATAAATAGTCTGTTCCTAGGACTTCAAATTAGTTCTATACAAGCGACATAACATCCGAGTGCCTTGATAGGATATAACAAATGATCCAGAACAAATGCCAGGTAAATGAATAGGAGAAAAGGATTTGTTTCCTTTTCTGGCAGTGAGAGTTTTTGGAATAAATGATTGGTCAAGATAGAGCAAAACATAGGTAGAATGATAGAGAGTCTGCTGAACATGAATGGCAAAATAAATCAGAATGATGGAATCTGGAAGCTAACAGCAATAAAAAATAAACTTTGAGGGAAAGGTGACATAATGAACAGGAGGCCATGGGTTCAAGGGGATGATGTGATAAAGCATGTAAAACAACCCTCAAATCCAAATTAGGCAGTTGAAAAGGTTGTTTGGGTCGAGGAATATGAAAGGAACGTAACAGTCAAACAAATATGCGAAAATTGCGACCTTTTAAGAGAGATAACAGGTTTATACCTGGCACCCCATAGATCCAACCTTTGAGCATCCAAATATGTATCATCCTGACAATGATACACCAGGGCATGTTGTTCAGATAAACAAGGGGGGAGGCATAGTGACACCCTTATGTAATTGTGTTGCAAACCTCCCTGTATGCACAGCAATATCAAGATAAGGAGGAAAAACTAAGTAATCCCCTTGAGAATGATCGGACAACAAAGCAGGGGTAGACTCAAAAGCAACTGGTTGCATCTCCAAAACTTCACAAACACGTGTAACTAACTGCAGAAAAGGGGCAGAAGGTAGCTGATCAAATAAGTCCTTGGGAGTGGAAGCTCTAGTGAAAGAAGCAGCAGGAAACAGGGAGTCTAAATTCTCCCCAGAATATTCTGTTTCAGAATGAAAATTCAAATCAGCACCTCTGGGAATGATACCCCCAGGCCACATGAAAGACTCCGTCCCACCCCAATCAGGTCACAGACAGCCTTACAAGTACAGACAGCCTCCCCCCCCCAAACTGCTGACCACCACTAGATAACAAAGAAGAAATAATATATTTGTAGAAAAAACAACAACAAATTCAATGAAATATATCTCTGGATAACAAAACAAAGAATTTCCAATTATTAGAAAGTGAAGATTAAGAAAATGTTAATCACAAAACGTTAGTATGAATGTTCACGCTTTGTCGAGAAAAAGTGATTTTATTGTTTGCATACAGTGCTTATGTACAGTACCTGCACAGAGGGCATGTGAGGGGCGCTGTAAAGTTTTGCAAATTAGATACTGCCGAGGGCAATCGAGTGGGGTATATAAATACTGGAGCAAGTGAACACAATATTAGATGGCAAAGATGAAGATCGAGAAATAGCTATTAGTGTCAGTGGAGATATGTATGCTTTGGAATATTCTGAAGTTGTAAAATGTTATGTTTATGCAAAATAAAATGAAAGGCATGCAGTCACAACTGGTTACATACCATAAAAACAGCTACTGATTAACAATTTTAAATTATTCATTATCAACTAAAAGCTAATAGTTTCGGGTAATTAACAATCCAAGTTTATTCAATTAATTGTCTTGTGCTAATATCAAATCTTGTAAAAAATTAAGTGAACAAAAAAGGGCTTATTAATAAATATACACAAGTACACTTCATTTATCTAACTATCTGTCTAGCTATTACAGAATATTTTTAATGAAATATTTATTTTCACTTGATATGATCTTCTCAACCTTTGAAGTTCTCTAATTAACTGGAAATTCAATATTGGCTGTTATATGCATGAATAACTTTCCCTATTTGTGTTTTAGAATTTATAGCTCTTACAAGTACATACCTTATTATCAGCTCCATGAGTAAGTAAAAATACACTTCTATTTCCATTTTATCTAATGTTTGAGCAACATGTGCTCTGTCCAATGTAGGGAATCAAACCCCAGATTTTTGCATTGTAAGTCCAAAACTTACCTAAGATTATTGTATTTACTTGTTAACTGCTTTATCATAAAGTTATTCTAATTCCTGGAAGCATTTCTAAATTACTTCCTTCAAAAAATTATAATAATTTCTACAAAGTTTATTGAAGTTTTATTTTTTGTGTCAACATGTTTATATTACAGGGTCTTCAGAGTGCATTTTCATATATGCATGTATGTACATATACACATGTGTTAAATTCAAGTAAAGATACTTGGAGTTTGAAATTTATGACAAAATAAGCAAATATATTTGGCTACAGATTTAGAATACGAAACATTTCATTCAAGGCAGAGGTACACTAGTAAAAAAACGTTTTTAGCTATTTGAATGTGACAAATTTCAACATATTTGTAATAAAATCTAATCCAGGCTGACATAGCATTTGGCTAAGTTGTATTTTACACGAAATTATGTCATTGCTCATAAGATTTTCAAAGGTAGACAAATGACACAATATAGTGTAGCAAAATTAAATCTACACACTAAATGTCTTCTGCTACTTAACTTATATAGGCAAATATGATTTTGATGAGGTGGTGCATGTACATGTATCTGTTTATAATGGTTATTGAAAGAAAATTTATATTGTTCAATGTCATTCATTAGTTGCAACAATTCTTACAAGTGAAAGTTATATAATATATGCACACACACACATATATAAACATACATACATATGTATGTGTCTATGTACTTGTACTATTCCTAATTTGAGCTGGATAGTAATGAATAATGTTTAGATCATATAACATATTCATAATCAGTGGAATGCTATTTTTTGTAATTTGACTTATGATAATTAAATGTACTACACACACCTCAAAGCTTGTGGCTATTGAAACAGTAGTTTTACATAAAACCTAAGCATATATTTAAATAACTGGCATGACTTTTGCCAGAATTTTAAGCCAACATTCGAACAGCTAATGTCATAAAATTTTACACACAGACTTCATAGAAATTACTCTTATTTAAGAATCACAACACAGAAAAGCTTAGTAACACTTTTTCAATGAGTTTTTGTATTTTACACAACTTTCTAACCATCATGTAACCATAAAGATATATGTACTGTGACTCTTAAAAGTACTTATTGTAGCTTCAAGAAATTTGACAAGCTTTCAGTAAAACTTACAAGTCTTTTGCAGACAAAAAATCAGAATTCTTAATCGAGTATTTTTACTAAAAATTTGTCTGTAAATATATGGAGTTAAACTTTTCGACTGCTCTGAGTGCAAAGTGATTTTCATGTTAAGATTAAAAATACTTTTCTTTGTCTGAAAGTTTTCAAATTTCATTTCCATAATGTCTAAAAAACTCCAAAATAAAAATAAAATGTTTTTTTTCATCCATTATTTTTTCTACCATAACTCTATATGGGGTTGGTTGATTTGACCTTGTAACTACCATATAAAATTAAGAAATAAATCTAAATTACCATTTTTCATTTCTAGAATGACTGCAAATTGTAACAGGAAACCACAATTGTTTATCTTAAATAGCTTAAAGCTCTAACAGTATACATCTACTTATACTTAAATTTATTGTTTTATTTACCTTTGAGTGGTGTATAACTAACAAATCCACCACTCAAGTTGTAAATCACTCAGAATGTGCACCTTACTTTACTGTATTGATATATATAATGCAAAAGCTACTCATAAGCATACCTTATGAAGAATTTTTATTATCAATATTTGTTTTCATTATCTTACCTAATAAGTTTCAAAACTTACATTTTAATTACTTTTATAATAATAAATAAAGAATACACATGATAAACAAGAAGTATAGTACTTAGCTGGGTCTTCTGTTGTTTTTTTTGCTGTTGACTGTCAATGAAACTTAAGCCTACTGTTTGTTTTTCTTATACTAATGGTACTACTACACTAAATAATGTTTTTTATTTAATTAATTAATGTGAAAGGGTTAACATTTCTACTACCACCTTCAGCCTAAATGTCACATTATAAATAGATGTTCACAAGGTCAGATGTAATTCTGAAGTTACCAGCACAAACTGGCTGATTAACATTTTGTTAGATAGGCTTACACAATACACAGAAGGAAATAGTTAAAGAAAATTAGTTTATCTTCAAAAATAACCTGTTCTGAATAGGAAAGTGTTGGTAACGTCATTACTATTAAAATTCTAAGTCCGTTAATATATAACTTCAATTTATGACCTACTTCTGTCTGGAATATTTTATGTAGGTTAAATTCAATTCCAACTTAAGAGGAATAACTTAGCCACAAAACTGCAGAGCAAACATTAAACAAATATGTAATATATATTAAGTTCATTCAAATATGTTCACATGTAACAAAAAAAACCTTCTCTATACATCAATCACTTTTTTTTTCTTGCTAGATTAAATATGATTGTAAAGCCTAATAAACAAAATAATAGGTGAAAACTTTGATTTAAAAAAGTTTCTAAATCTTATAAATTAAAATTCATACAGCTACAAGTTTTTCATCTAATTAATCTATGGAAATGTAAAAATAAAACTCTATACTATATATACTTAAAATCTTTCTACCATAATTTAGCATATGTGAGCATTTGTTCTTGAAATTCTTATTGATTAAAATATACTTTACAAAACACAGGTGTAGTTATACCTGTACCAAATTATTCTTATTTTGATATAAGTATAAATGAGTTGAATGAGATAATAGATACACATAAACAGTGTCAAAAACGGGAAAATATATTCATGCAGTTGTTTTAAATGAATTGTAGTAACAGTTTAAAAAAATACAGAACCCTAGATTACAATAAAATAGCTTATCAGAGTTTTAATTTTCATTTCTAGGACTTTATACACTGATGACTGGCATTATTACATAATAAGTTACAATATAAAATTTTACTTTAAAGATATGTATATAATTTTATACTCAGCTTTTTTTAAGTGATGAAAATGTAAACCAAAATAAGTATACTGTAAATTCTCTACCAATTAAAAGTGGCCACACATAATAAACAAATTGGCAGCAAGGATAATGATAAAATTATAAAATATTGGAATTGAAATAATATAGCCTTGCACACAAGCTGGATTAATTTTAATCCAAAGATAGGTTTGTTTAGGTTCAGTTAATCAGGCTATTGGGAAAGTAAATTTTAATACACAAATTTGATTCTTACAGATTTCATACAACATTAAACGAAACAAAACTCCAAACATGTGGGTGAAGAGTACACTAATCTAAAATTAGAAGATAAAAATACACTTTCTTCAGCTGAAGTTTGCAAACATTTAACGTAACCCAGCAACTGCATGAAATTTAATGGTCACAATTAGCATGCAGAATTGATTAAATATCTCAAAGGAAATTTGAATACAAAACACATACCTTCAAAATCGGACGGATTACTTCCTATATAACAGGAAAGAACAAAACACTTAGGAATATTCACACAAATAGCTCAATAAAGTGCAAAGTCTACAATAAAACTGTCCACACAAATCAAAATATAAAAACTACTCTGCTTGGTGGAGAGTTATGGTAACATAGTTTGATGATAATACTTAGAATGATCTTTTTATTTTATGAATTTTTCATTACTGTGAACTTAATAACATTCATGCTTTTAAATAAATAGTCTTATAATATCAGATACTAATTACACTTATATGATAATAAAACTTATAACAGTGCAATATTTCAGAAAAGGTGTCAAACTAAGATAAAAGAAAGTATTTTAATAAAGGTCTTTAACAGTTAAAATGGTAAGTAAAATATGTAATGCCAAACCAAGGTTTAACTACTGTATCAGAGAATGAATAAATTCCAAGTAAAGTAGCACAAAAAAATAACTTCAGTTAAAATTAGCATAAAGTGCAATGTTAATAAAAACAAAGTAATGAAACAAATGCTTCAGGAACTTTAAAAACATACTGATATGGAACTGATGGAAATAATGCAGAAATATCAATAATAACTATGTTTAGACAGATGTAAGATGTAAACAAATTTAATAATCATTTTCAGATAAGAGAGCAAAAAACAAACAAACAATGACTTCAAGTAACAATAAATTCAATCCAAATACAAGTTTAGCAGACCTCGATATTATATGTTGATAAGATAACGTCCCTAATAAATATGTACCAACATTGAAAATTTAACATAGCATTTAATGACTTGAAACTTTATTTCTAGGGATAATTTTCAAAAACACATTTCTTCTATTTCACAAGTGTGGAGATATCAGTACTTCCTTTTTAAACATTATAAAATAAAGTGCAAAAAAAGTTCTCCTGATGTATTAAGTAACAGAAATATTCTCACATATAGTCATTCTTTTCTGTAACTACGTTGCTATGAAAATATGTACTGCTTTGTTAACTGTCTTACATACAATTAAAGTGCTGAATATATATATATATTAGGAAACTAAAGTCCTTTTAGAGCACTTTGGTAATGTTTAAATACATAAGATCTTCCTCTATAAAATAGCCAGTACAGAAATGCTATTTTCCTATTTAAGCACTGATAAATAAAGCAGTCAAGGACAATTTAGCAATATTTATATCTATCTATATTTACAATACAAACTAGCAATATTTATATCTATATTTATAATACAAACTAGCAATATTTATATCTATCTATATTTACAATGCTTCTAGGTTCTGATGAAACTTTAGCTGATACAGCTGCTCAAGAAATGGACAAAATGGGAAATTTCAGTACTTTTGAGAATGGAACGTTGGTAATTCATAGTGCTCACAAGGTACGTTAAGTGTATGTGACCATATTGTAAATATAGATAGATATAAATATTGCTAGATTGTATTGTAAATATAGATAGATATAAATATTGCTAGATTGTATTGTAAATATAGATAGATATAAATATTGCTAGATTGTATTGTAAATATAGATAGATATAAATATTGCTAGATTGTATTGTAAATATA